CCCCCCCCCCCCCCCCCCCCCCCCCCCCCCCCCCCCCCCCCCCCCCCCCCCCACCCCTCCCCCCCCCCCCCCCCCCCCCACCCCTCCCCCCCCCCCCCACCCCTCCCCACCCCTTCCCCCCCCCCCCACCCCTCTCCACCCCTCCCCACCCCTTCCTACTAGCATATTATGAAAGACTTACCTTGGAAGAAACTTTCCAGTGGCGCACTGTCACTGTTGCAGAGGCTTCCATCTTCACCCAGTCTTCCTTCCAGGGTCATGGGCTGTGGCCACTTGACTGGCTGAGCCATGATGACGTCACTCCCACGCTTACAAGTGGGAGCCACAGCATACAGCTCTGAATGCATGTGCCACTGACATCACTGGCTGCCAAACAAGTGAATATCTCCTAAATGGTCTATGTTTAGGAGATGTTCTGAATGTGAGTTAGGGACCTTAGATTGTACGCCCCTTGAGGGTTAGGGACTGATGTGAATGTACAATATATATGTAAAGTGATGCATAAATTGACAGCACTATATAAGTACCTGAAATAAATAATCATTTAACCTGCAGGTAAGCTTTATTCGCTTACCTGTATGTAAAAATCAAAATGTGGAGTTTATTACCACTTTGATCTATCTAGCTGGGAAATTGAAAGTGCTTCCCATGTATAGGCATGACTTACAATGTCATGAACCACTTTGTGCCATAGAAAGGCTCTTTGTATATCAGAAGAATTAACGGACAAGAGTGGAAGCTGGTCATGTCTTTCTACAAGGACATAAAAGCTACTGTTTTGGACTTGATTTGACCCCTCTTATTGCTTAGAATGCTCAGTGTTTAAGCAGGCCAACAAAAAAAAAAAAAAACCCTGAAGCAGGCAGTGATTAGCAAGATTTGCATCTACGAATCCTTAATTCACTTTTCATTGCTAAAAAGACTTAGACCTTAATACACCCAAGAGTCCTGTTTTAGCATCTTTTGTGAGTTGTGCCTTTTTGTGAAGTTATCCTTTCAATTAGAATTTTCACTTCCCTTCCTACAATCCTACCTGATCCATTCCACATGGTCCACAAACTCTCCCGGCTGGAGAGCCATGCCCATGTAGAGGCTCTCATCCTCCACTACAAACTTCCCTCTGAGCAACACAGGATGGATCTGTCAGGAATATGGACAGGTGAGTAGAAGACACGGAGGATGGATGCTGATGAGAGGAATGTGGTTAATGAAAAGATAACTGTATCAAACATGCCTAGTCACAAGAAATTGTCATAGCTCACAACTGTTCCTCATTTGCAGAACCTGCCCCTTTTTATTTGGACTAAGTTCCTCTGTTCCCCTTTCTTCCATAGTCGCCTCTTTTTTTTTTTTTTTTTTTTCTAAAATATAGCCCTCTCTTTAAAGGGTCAGTCTCCCCCATCCCCCCCCCTTCTCTGGGTCCCCTATGTACTTGCCTCTCGCGATCCTGAATTGTCGTGGACATGGAATTCCTTGCTGTTCCTTTTCTCTGTGCAACATGTCTGGGATAGACCAGACTGCTTCACTGTGACTGCAATAACCAATCAGAATTGATCTGGTCCATCCTGAAAGCACTGCACAGAGAAGAAGAAGAGCGAGGATTTCAAATCCCCCGGTCGCTGGGCTGGCCGCAGGAGCCCTGGCAGCAAGATTGCTGTGGGAAAGTACAGTGAGAATCTGAAGCTGGGAGGGTGTTTGGTGTTCATCTTTACATAAAAGATGTAAAGGTGAACTAACATTTTAAATGTACTATTTATCAAACGTAAACAAATCTTTCACCCAGCCTCTAAATTATTACATTTGCTATCATGAAAATCCAGGTTGAAAAAAAAAAAAATCATGGGTAAAATCTGTTTAATCAACTATTTTTTGCATAAAAAGGTTCAACCTTTTTTTTTTAAAAAAAAATGACTGTGATTGACAATAGCAGCCAATGGCCCTCACAGCAGTGTCTCAGCCAGTGGGGATGGAGAGACCCGGGAGAGCCACTGCACATTGCTGGATCGAAATGGGATTAAGGTAAGTATTGGGGGGTCTGCGGGGGGACTGCACACGAAAAGTTTTTTACCGGTATGCATAGAATGCATGATGATTAAAAAAAAAAAAAAAAAACCCCAAAAAACTCCTTCAGCCTTTACAACCACTTTAACTCTTCATGGCCCACATAATTGGGAGTGTGGTAGGGGTGTGGCATTTGACTACATTCTTTGTGCTACACCGAGTCCATCTTTCCCATCTCAGGAAGTTGGGAGGTATAAATTGGTAACCTTGTGGTAAAATGTACTATGAGCCCAAATAGTGATTAGTGTACATTGGATACAATGACGGCACTCCTCATTATATAACGGCACACTTGTTATATACAGTTTTTTAAATCGGTAGGAGGAGGTGCACATGTCAATGGTTTGTTCTTTTAGGATCCCTGCAAGTGGGAAGGCTTCAGTTATCTTTTTTTTTTGTTTTGTTTTTCATTTAAAGCATAAGGACATTGCTGAAATTACAAGCAGTGGCACCCATTTCTAGTTCTTATGAACCTCATTCTTTTGAAATAAACTCAATACCTTGCAAATACAAGTAGTGATACAACTCCCTATGCTGCATGTGCCTATCATGGGCTTTACTACACATTCATGTTTGGCCAAGAAGTGATTCTAATCCAATATAGTATTAATAGCCTTGTTCATAATGTAGAATAACGAAGTGATGATAATTCCACACCAGAACTGCAATATATTGCCGTTTACCAATCCTTAGATGTGATGGCTGCATTAGTTTTTGTTTAGCCTTTTTTCCCCCCTTTGTTTTCACCTTTAACACACCTATGGTAAAGTGTCCCCACTCTGGATGTAGTAGCACTGGTAATCTGGGAGGGGGGAGGGAGTGTTAGATGTACTAGCAGACTTGTTTATTTTAACAATTGCAGCCAAAACTCCAGCTCACACTGCAGTTACACAAGTAGTTGCAGAAGAAGTGCTCACATGTGGCCCTCGGAGCCCTCTGATGTGGCCCTCAGCCTCAAATAGGGGAAGTGCTGCGGGTTAGCTGAACTGAGCCATAGGTCTCTATTATATCCTGTGTGTTTTGGTGCGCTTTCAGAAAGCAAACCAAACTCCTGGATGTATCAAAGTGCAGCTGACCTGCAGGAAAGCCACTGGTTCACTGTGTTGCTCCCGCAGATCAGTGTAGGTAAACCGCAGCACGTCAGTGTGAAAGCAGCTTTATAAGGGCTCAGGACAGTATGGGCCCATTTACATTTGCTATTTGGAGGGGGGGGCAGTAAAACCCCATAGTTAAGTGTTTTTACCACCCCATCCACTGGTGTAGCATCAGGGATCGCAATGGCGCCCCTGCCCCATACTCCAGGGGGCCCCATGTGGCCTCCCTATCAGACTTTGTTTTACACTTGGGAAGGAGGGATGGCATATACAGCAACTGACCCTCCATTTTCCTCCTGCAACTGGCTTCTCCTCCTCTCCCTCCCGCCGGCATTCAGCAGCTGCAGGATGAAAATGTTCATTATGATATTCAAAATAAAAAATTCTGAACCATTTTTATTTTATTCTGGCCCTCTGTCAAAAGGTTGAGCACCCCTTAGCTTCAGAGTTACAGCAACAGTTTTTTTTTCCTTTTGGGATTCATGAATAAATGAAAGCCAACCACTGTAAGCACCCCCTGTCAGTGGCAAATTGTTTGTTTCATCATTGTAACCGATAGATGTGCAAGACAGCTTGTTCTGTTGAAAGACAACAGACTTACTGGCTGGATCACTTGATGACAAAGGAAGAAATGCCTAAAAAGGCAAACCAATGCAGCCATCAAATCTAAGAATTGGTAAGCTGCAATATAATAAATGTTTGTTTTTGGGTTTAATACCACTTTAAAGTCTAGAACTCCTTTTAGAATGAAGAATTCATATTTTCCCTTGAGAAGGCAAAAAATAAAACATTTCCTGGCTGGAATATGCACCTGGGCCTTGACACACTGTAATAAACAGGTAGTGGATGTTTGTATTAAAGAAATGGACATCCCTTTTCAGGCGATAAATAATTTGCTACAAACGTTTTCCCTCTTTGAGCCATTGGTTATCGGAATTATCCATGCAGCTCCCATGGTAAAGCCACAGACAGATGTTGACCAGATTGTGTTTGTGATAAAGAATTTATGTGACCCAGCAGGAAACTGAACTCGGTGCTTATACTTTATTTCTTGTGCTGCCAAGCTGCGAAATGAACATTAATTGCCGCTTTAATTATAGCAATTGTTTGTTTTCATAATAAATCTTTAGAAGATTAGAAGACAAGGAAAATGAGAGGTGACGACTTGTCTCCTATCCACGTTTTCATAAAACTCATAAATGGCTGATTTTTCCATCATTAGATGTATTTAGGTTGACTGAAGATGCTATTTAATTCTTGTACCAATATACATTCTTAGTAAAAAAAACAGATTGTGCACCTTTGCAACCATTTGATTTCTTCCAATTGCCGGTCCGCACCATAGAAACACAGTCCAGATACATTCCGGATGCGTTTCTGCATGTGTGTTTTTGGCGCATTCCGGTGCGTTTTTGATGCATTCTGGTTCTTTTTTCCCCCCTCTTTTTCTCAATTAAAATAGGGACACATGTATTCCAGTGTTTTGTTGATGCGGTTTGGTGCGTTCCAGTGTGTTAGGCCCCATATACACAGGACACTTATGAACAATGGAAACTGCTGGAAAATGTAGGTTAAAAAACATCTGTTTAGCCGCGTTTGCATAATGCGTTTATGTGCTTTTTTTAAAGATAAGCACGGGAACCTCTGAAATGCCCAGAATGCACTGAAAAGTGGTAAATTAACTATTTCTGACTGTTTCAGAGAAATAGAGTAGAAGCATAGACAGCAGTATGTGTTGAGATTAGCTTAGGTGTGAGTTGCTCATTAACATTAATTTTGTTTCCAGGGGTGGGAAAGGTGTCTGGTGGAGGGAGTCATTAAGGCCACCTGGCGGGGGGTCTTCATGAGGAATTTGAGGTGTGAATGGTCATTAACATATCTTTTGTTTCCAAGGGTGGGAGAGGTCTGAGGTGTGAGTGCTCATTAACATTTCTTTTGTTTCCAAGGGTGGGAAAGGTGCCTGGTGGAGAGAGTCATTAAGGCCACCTGGCGGGGGGGTCTTCATGAGGAATTTGAGGTGTGAATGGTCATTAACATATCTGTTGTTTCAAAGGGTGGGAGAGGTCTGAGGTGTGAATTGGTCATTACAATGTGTGACAAGCTTGGTAGGAACATCCTGTGTTCAGTGTTTTGTCCATTTGAGTACCTTGAAAACGATTTGCATGCATTTTTCATGCTGAAAAAAGGCTCTGGACAGCATCTGGAAATGGAAGCTTTAAAAAACATTTTCAGACACAAACTCTTATAAACGCGATTTGCCGCGTTTACAAGCATTGTGCTGATAAAATCGACTGCTGTACACAAGTTTTCTGCATTCAGAAAAAAGACTGTAACGACTGTAAACTCAAATGCCGGTAAATGACTGTAAATGACGATGTGTATATGGACACATAGGAAAACATTAGGGAGAGTTCAGGGGCTGCTGAAAAAAAAAAAAAAAAAGACGCAGAAAAGCTCCTGAATGTCAGTTTATCAGCTGCAGTGTACATGAACCCTTATGGTGCATTTTCCACATTCCAGTACAGTTCTGTGCAGGAAAAATGCATCCTGTTCTACTTTTTTTTTTTCTCTGCAAGCACTGATGTGAACTATGACATTGACAACCATGTAACCTACTTTCTCTGCATTTTGGATGCAGAAAAACAGCACACTGAAATGCATGTAGTGTGAACTGGCCCTTAAGGCACATTTCCACCCTTAAAGTGGAACCAAACTTCCAATTTCAACTTTGCCTCAGATGAAATTTCTTTAAAACGTTACCATTCCTGATTTTCTTTACGTCTAGTGTTGACACAGATCTGCACATGTTCAGTTCCTGATGGATGGATCAGCACGGTGGTAGCGGAACCAAAGCAAGGCTTGGTCATGCATGCGTGCAAATTGTAGGTAGTAGACACTAGGGATTACTTCAAAAAGATGTTGGCTTTGTCAGGAGGGCTTGTAGAATCAAAAGTCATTCCCAACTGATGGAGGAGCTTATGGCTGGAGTGCATCCTTAGAGAGAAACGGGTCCGGAAGATGTGGTTTTTACTGGACGGAATTTACCTTCATGGCTGAATATCGGGATTCCCTGGGCTCTCATATGAAGCATGTGCCGTTACCGTGGTCCACATCAAGCTTTCTTATGCCAGTTCCCCCTCGAGCAGCACACTCATTTCCTTTCCTTTTTCCTGTCCATCTTTTTCTTACCGCCCCCTTTTTTTTATTCTTTTGTCTTCTTTAATTCCATGATGGTTATAGCTCTGTCTCTTTTTCTTTTTTCTTTCGTTCTGTCTCTTTTAGTTTTTCTGTATGTATTGAAAAGTTACTGTTCTATAGGATTTAAATGTGTCAGAGGCCTTTGGGTGAAGGGAACCTTGTTAGCCCTTGTTAATCCTTGTTAATGCCTTGTTAGCCCTTATCTCGGTTAGTCTATATGTATTGTGTACAGCGCTGAGCGAACTATTGGCGCTTTATAAATACTGTATAATAATAATAATAATATGTGGTGAATTTATTTTGATACGTGTATCTTGCTCCTACTACTGCTCCCAGGCTACTTGTTGTGATGGGTGCCTGCGAGCCCCAATAATCCCTGTATAACATGCAAAATTGATTAAATATAGAATTAAAAACAAAATCAAAGTAATGCATCATTGAATAATAATTTGGGTCACATATTAAGCAAGATTTTTATTTGGCCGTGAACTGCAGAGTTTAGTTCCCCTTGAATGTTTTCTGTTTTGGGTTAGTATAATTGGGCTAAAACACCTGCTGATTTTTTTTCCCCCTGTTTTTGAGCTTCAGTAGTGAGATTTTCCAACAGTAGTGTGCATGTTTCCCTCCCTTAAAGGAGAAGTATGGGTTTATAAATAAACATCCATACTTGCCTCTATGCTACACCTGTCCCATGTTGCCTATAAGACCGAGAACTGAATGATGTGACTCAGTTTTGCTCAGGGTGAAGAGCAGTGACTGTGCAGGGCCACTTCAGGCTCTGAAAGGAGCCTGACAATATTGTTAGGATCCATCCAGTTGCCTGACTGACAGCTGGCACTGCTGAGAGCCATAACCAGCTGTGTGTGATCCCTCCCCAGCCCGGCATTCAGTCAGCACTGGAGGAGAAGAGCAGTGTGGGTGAGTTGCTGCTTTCCAGCCTGCTGTGCTCTATGGATGTCTGGGTATAAATAGACTGCACTGTCTGTTTACACCCGACTGCCCTCCAAACCATTCCTCATGGATGGATGGGGATGGATACCCTTCCAATTTTTTTTTTTTTTTTTTTTTTTTTTAGTGCACCGGGTTGGAGGTAGGTGGGTATAAATGGACACCTGCTGGTCCATGGGGATACATGTACCATGTGATCAGTTCTGCCTAAAGAACTTACAGGTGGACCTGATCAGATCCAAAAATTATTTCTTGCAGTGCTAAATTCTATTAAAATGTGATTACAACGTTTTTACAAAAAATATGAATATTTATAGTGCAAACGCAAACTCCGTTCATAAGGCATCTGCCAAATAAATAATAAACTAGCAACAGTTCATATGTTGACTCGATGTGCATTCACACTACTGGTTTCAGAGTGTGTAAGTGCTTCCACCACCGTGCACCACCATTAAATGTAAACATAAAGCAAGCGCTTTTCAATCCTGGGTATAAGCAGCTAGCATAAGGAAACCTCTAAAACCCTTAAACATATAAATATATAAAAATGCAGCACTTAAATGAATGTAATAAATATAATAATAAAAAAAATTAATAAAATTGTGAGTGTGACAGGGACTGCAAGTTGATGCGCTAATATGTGATTGTGATAATGTCTTAATAAAGACAAAAATGATATACTATCGTGACAGTATTATGCACAATATATCACATACATGCAAATGACATAAGTCCATTAAGTAGATTGCAAGTGCGTCAGTGATTCAGATAGGAAGATAACGATCAATCCTATTCAACTTCCATCACATAATCAGGTGCTCGTGACTTCCGTGAAAAACAATATAGGGTGTGTTTGCACTCACCGGGTACTGATGGCCATCTGGGACCCAATGGGGTTGTGGTACTCAACAACACTCATAATATCCAGGGATATTCTCCAGATCTCTTATTGGCCCCTCTTAGTTAATAGGAACCGCTCACAGGTGAAGCTAACGCTCAGCATCAGGTATGTACAGCATCCAAATGAAATCCACCTTGTGATGCTCAAACAAAGCCACCAGAACAAAAAGGCTCCTATAGTGTAGTAAATTTGATAGATTTATTCCTTCAAAGGCATATGTATCTCAAAAAAGAAACAACGTTACACTGGCTGAAAGTACTGCAGTCCAATAATTATAGCCTCAGTAGCAATAACAGGTATACATGCATGTATTGAAGATCTCAGTGAAAATTGAAAAAATACAAAGATGGCCACCGACTCAGTATGACTGGCTGCGGCAGCATAGGGTGACGTCGGTGTGGCAGGCTAATACCCTGACGCGTTTCGTGCTATGACACGTTGTCAAAGGGTGCACCACCATTACAGGAGCCTCTTCCCGGACAGTAAAGATCGTTAGATTAGAAATGGTCAAAAGCGCTCAAGCTCACTGATCATCCAATTGCCTCCTAGTGCAAGCTCTATCTTTGATATGGACCACGACCGGACATCACCATCAAAAGGAAGAATGGTACAGATCCATAGTGAAATATATAAAAAAACTGTACCTTTGTTTAAAAATTGCAAGTTGTGCTCATGTAGTAAAACATCAAAAATTGTATCTCCGCACTCTCATACTCCTGTACAGCGGGCTGATCCTATACATCAGACGCACACATGTGAATCGCCTGTGTGAAAGGGGCCTAAGATGAAGTTTAGGTATTGTTAAACTTTACGTAGTTACATTAGTCCAGCTTGGACCATTATAAGTGTGTATGTGCTATCAATTTTGAATCCCAGTGGAAGCTGGAAGTCACGGTAGGTGTACACTTCAGCATTTATTAATAATGAAACCTATAGCAGACCAGAGCTGGGAATTTCAATGGAGATGTTGTTCAACTGTAGACTGGTGGAGATATAAAAGCCAAGAATTTTTCAGTTAGCCAACATAAAAGAAATATCCGAATGGGCACTTAATGTTTCTCAATGTCTGGCCAGGTATACTGTATTTATGCATATTGCCTGCAGCTTTCATGAGTGTAATGTTGTTTTAGGCATCTATATCCCCAGCCATGTTATTTTGTACATTCTTTTTATCTGTGATCACATATTGGATACCCATGGAACAAAATGTCAGCTACTAAATTATCTGTGTTGCTTAGGTCTTTTCAGGTTTGTGGTGGTTAAATATGCCAGCTCTGTGTGGTTGATGTCACCACTGTGGTTATCTGGGATTTAGGACGGCACTCTGCACTTATTAGGCTTGGACCCCTTTGTCAGTCCTCGTCTAGAATGTCATGGACTGCGCATATTTCACACCTATGATTTACATGTGGATTTGTAGACATCTGCTCTTCCCCGGCATGTGATATAAACAGGCCACTGTTGCTAAAACACAAGCTTGCATAGTGGTCCATTTGTGCATACTTCACAGCACATGACCCCGTTCTGTTTGTGCTTCTGTTCTCCCACTAGGACAAAAAGAATTAGACATTGAATGCGTTCCGAAATGTGTTGTTTGAAAAGAGAGAAAAACAAATTGTGCCTTAATTACCGGTAATGCTTGTGTAACGAAGCGTTTCTGTGTTACTCCTGCATAGACCTGGCATGCCGAGTATATAGATGATATGACTGCCATTTATAGGCTTTATAACCTGAATTTTGTTCTGTGTATATTATCTATTATGGATTACTTTACTTGACTTTCTTTTGTATTGTGCCTAGTGGGAAGGGCTGCAATGTGAAATCTGCCAACAAAGCTGAATGCAGGTTCTGCTAACTTCCCATAGGTGACTATAAGCATTATAAATAAACCCCGATGACAGATGAGCAAATCCGTCCAATGGATACAGGGAATACTTAGGGCTCATGTACACTGCAGCTGATAAACTCAAGTTTGAATGCTGGAAATTGACAGATAAACGCAGGTTAAAAACCACCAGTTTTGACACATTTGCATACCGCGTTTAGCCGTGTTTATGCTTTCCCAGGCATTAGATATACCATGGAACACAGTGAAGACAGTC